TGAAGCCAGCCTGGACCCTTGAAGGCAGCACAAAGCCCATGTGCAGAAGAAATCATGGTAGGCCTTGCTCCACCACCATCACCTTTCCAGAACCACCGTGAGTCCAGCGCAGGTGACTCTTTGCTTGTCTAGCTTTTGGAGGAGAGGGCTGCGTGGATTATCTCTATGCCTCTGTCTTTGTTAGGGATTTGGAGGGTTATGTTGGCACTGCATCTTAAATGCCTTTTGTCCCTCTGCCTTAAAGACATCCAGTCAAAATGAAAGCCATGGGTAAATGAAGGAGACTCCCCATGCAGCCAGGGGGATGAAGACCTCCAGTTTTCCCTACGCAGAAGGTTCTACCCCAACACTGGGTCTAGGTGCTCCTTCTCTCCTCACCCCTCTGACAGAGGAGTCTCCTCCGCCATCCTGGCACCAGGCAGGAACCGATAAACATTTCTCCCTTCTCCTCGACAGCCAGAAGCTCACGGGCTGTGTCAGGCCAGAGTAATAGCTCTGTCTCTGTGAGTTACTGGCAGAGCAGTCTCTGCTGCTTTCAGCTCCTGTCTCGGGCCATTCCTGGCTGTCTCCAAGGTGCCAGGCCCTGGGCCAGCTCCGGCGCCTTTTACAGCCGGATTACACAACCCTCTCTCCAGGTTTTTTCTTCTTTTCTGTGCAGGGCTAGGTTTTCCCTCCCATCTGCAAGGATTGCTAAGACCCCACAGTGGGGCTGGAGGAAAATGCCAGAGCTGAAGCATGAGCCCAGTGGCTGTTTTTATATGCTGTTCAAGTGGCCAAGACCCGATAAAAAAACCTTTTCCATATGGAGGGAAAGAAAAAGGGTGCTGTTCCCAGGAGCCTGCTACCAATTCCCAGGGTGCCTCTTGCCAAGAGGAGAAGATTTTCTTTTGTCTCCCAGCATCCTTGCCAGAGCTCAGTCTGGCTGATTATGTTTATAACCTGCTCAGAGATCTGACCAGGCACCGAGTCAGCTCTGTGAGATGGCACCTCCACTCATAGCATCACTACAGAAAATTAATTCTTTTCTGAGAAGTGGGAACTGCTGGTGTGCCGTGGTGGACCCCTGATGTGGCACCTCCACTCATAGCATCACTAGAGAAAATTAATTCTTTTCTGAGAAGTGGGAAACTAAAAGCAACCCCTCCCCGTCATGCTCCACCAACATTTGCTGATCTCCTGAGGCTCCTTTTCATCTTCTGGCTGTATCACACTCCACCAATTCTCCATTTACTGATCTCCTGAGGCTCCTTTTCATCTTCTGGCTGTAGGTAGACATCTTCGGAGTCACTGAGCCCACAGTCATAGATAACACATCACACTGATAAACAAGATAGAAAAAAACATATGGGCCTCAGACACAAGGCCAGTCTGGTCCTGCATCCTCTCCATTGCAGAGTAAAAAGCAGCTGGGAAAAATAAAAGAGCAGGCCAAGGATGTAGTAGTGCTTCTTCAAAAAGATCCCCAAGACTCCAGTAATTTCTGCTCAGAGACCCCCTGATGCAGAATGGTGTCACTTTACTTCATAGTTCTGGATGGATGTTGCTTTTGCAAACGTTTCCACATATTTTTCATAACTTTAGAAGTTATAAATCAGCTGAATCTCTGTTCACCATCAACAGAGAGCTGTGGAAAGATGGTGTCATGGTTTAACCCCAGCTGACAATCGAGCCCCGTGCAGCCACTCGCTCAGTTTCCCTGCTTGGTATGGGGAAGAAAACCAGAAGAGTGAAAGTGAGATTTATCTCATGGATTGAGATAAAGACAGTTTAACAGGTAGAGCAAAAGCCACACGTGCAAACAAAGCAAAACTGGGAATTCATTCACTGCTTCCTGTGGGCAGGCAGCTGTTGACCCATCTCCAGGAAAACAGAGCTCCATCACGTGTAACAGTTACTTCTCCTATATCACAGAATCACAGAATGAAAAGCTCCATCACGTGTAACAGTCACTTCTCCTATATCACAGAATCACAGAATGATGCGGAGTTAGAAGGGATCTAGAGATCATCTAGTCCAACCTCCCTGCCAGAGCAGGTCCACCCAGAGCAGGTTGCACAGGAACAAGCCCGGGTGGGTTTTGAATGTCTCCAGAGATGGAGATTCCACCACCTCTCTGTGGTTCCAGGGCTCTGCCACCCTCAAACTAAAAAAGTTACTCCTCATGTTTAGACGGAACTTCTTGTGTTCAAGTTTGGGCCCGTTACCTCGTGCCCTGTCACTGGGCACCACTGAAATACATCCTTCTATCAGGAAGACCATGAAGTGGCCATAATATTCAAGATGCAGGTGCTGAGTGCAGTTACTCACTGGCATAGTGATGGTTTCTGTTTCATTCCCTCTTCCTTTCTTAATGTATCCATTCTTAATAATTCACAGTGTTTAATGTCTGGTTTTATTGCCATTGAATAATTCTTGGAACCCTTATGTCTTGTTCCCCAGTGCCGTAAATGTGAACTCATAATTGTTTGTTTGGGTTGCTTTTCCCCCAATTTCTGCTGTCTACATGGATTTGCAGCTGCTCTTCACTCAGTAGCTCAAAAGCAGCCCATGACAAGAGGGACTCTGAGGTTTGCTGATCACGTTCAGTGAACATGATCAGATCTGGGTGCATCCTCACAGCGTGAAGGACAGGCTGAAGGTCAGGAGTGTGGTGGGCAGAGGGACTGTTAAAAGAGAGATTGGCTGGGAATAGAAGAACCTGATGCTGAAAGTGGGCGTAAATAATGCCATCAAAGACAGGCTTTCATTTGAGGGAAAAAGATGGAATTATTTATGAAGTTCATGTGTATGATCATTTGTGCTGCTTGTTAAATAATACAGCTGTGGACATTGGTAATGGAAAGCTTGTGGCATTATAGCAATTGTGGGAGAAAACAAAATGCTTTTCATTGAAAAGAGCTGTTCTGACCAAGCTTTTTTTTTTTTTTTTTTCACCTTTTGGGAAACTTAGTTTCATTCTATTTTTGCTCTGTATATGCTTTTGTCTTTATGTGTGCTGCCTTTGCTGCATCTTTTCATGGCAGACTAATGGCCTGGGAAGACACCGTAGGTAGAAGTTTCACTTCAGGAAGTCTCAAACTTGTCTCATTAAGACACACACAGAGATAAAAGGGCTTCAGTTTTTGGTTGCAGTGGTTCTTAAATAAGTTCCAAACTAGGTAATGGAATAAGTCAACAATTTTATCACCTTTTCTGTCATATTAGTATTAATCACCATTGTGTTACATCATGGAATAAAATAAGAAAAACACTAACAGCGTAAGAAAAGCTCTGTGTCATAGAGTTTAATAAAAAACCTCAGCTGCAGGTTTCAAGAACTGAAGTATTTTACATTCTTCTGAACAAAACTTTTCCAAAACTTTATTATTTTTTTTAAGAAATAAATCTCTTTTGAAGGACTTTTAAAAAGTTTTTTTTTTCCCTTTGAATTAAAATAAGGATAATTTCAGACTGTTTTCCCTGCATGTTGAGAAGACCTGGTTTGTACATTTGCCACTCTCGAGCCATTAAATCACCTCACCCAGAGCCTTCTCCCTGTGAGCAGCTGCCGGGGATGTAGCAGCAACTTCAAATGTATCTGATTTTTATATTAAGGGAGGAAGTTTGGAAAAGCACAATTTGTGGCTTGGCTGATGTGCTTAAAGCTGTTCCTGTAGGGATAACGCTGCAGCGCCTTTCCTGTCGGTGTTGCAGTATGGGGCTGGGATAAACAACAGACTTACAAAAGCATCTTAGGAAAGGACAAAATCAGAAGCTGAGGCGGGTGGATTAGCATGTAGAGGATGGGTATTTAGGTTTCCTAAGGAGGTACAGCAATCTCTGCAGCATCCTGGCCTACAGTCATGACCCCAAAGTCTACGCTTGGCTTCATCTCCCCTCAATCAATATATTTTAGTGACAACATAGAGCTGTGACACGTCCTGGAGTGCATGTCACCTGCATGTCTGTCTCCTCACCTTCTCCCCAGATGTCTTCTCTCCTCCTCATCCACCTCACGGCTGCCTTTCCTCCCACTCTTTCTGCCAGCTGCCACGTTCCCTTTGGCAGGTGGCTCAGAAGGGCTCTGTGCTCCTGTCACGTGTGGGGAAGCCTTTTCTCGCCCAGTACTGGAGTGGTTTTGTGGGGATAATTAACTGTGAAAAGCATCACTCCTGGTGCAGGGGGTAGAAGCTTAGTGGAACAACTCATTAAAAATCTTTGCATGGACTCCCCTTCATGTACGCGCTGAAGAATACACCCGTTTTACAGAGCCTGGGCTCTCCCCAGAGTCTTATCTTGGTGTGTATGGACAGAAACACTGAAAGATATTCTCTGGATTGATATCCATGCTGGGATGCTGGCAGGAGGCTGGGCTAGCAGCAATCAATAAAGCCTCGAAGGCTTGGTGTGGAGTTGATGGAGATGCTCTTAGTTTCAGAGCTGAGGATCCAGCCCATCAAATAGCATGGGTTCGCTGGCAAAATAGCATGTTTTGCTGCATTTAAATAGCCTACAAATAGCTACACCACATAAGGAATGTACTCACATCTGTATAAAATGCAGTCCATGTATGTTCAGAAAGACCTCCCTGTAATCTGGATTTTTAATGGGGGGATTTTCTGTAGAAGGAGAAAAAGATCTTACATTTTCCAAATCATGTTCGGTTATTAAGTAAAAACTCAAGTGGTGAAAATCTCCGCTGAAAGCCGAAATATCTAGGCATTAGGTGATAAAGATAGCAGTGGGGGGAAAAAAAGTTAGTATTTTCTTCCTGAAAATGAACAGTTTACACACCAAGTGTAATTTTCATTGAAACCTCACTTTATTTTGAATCAGGACTTTCACAGAAAAAATTGCCTTTGGTATAAAAGAATGTGAAAAAATGGTATTTGTTGCATGGGTACTAACCTCTCTTTCTTTCTTTCTTTCTCCCTCTCTCCTTTAGTATTTGTTGCATGGGTACTAACCTTTCTTTCTTTCTTTCTCCCTCTCTCCTTTCTTAAACTTTCGTCCTCTTACAGCAAGAAAAACAGCAGACACCAAACAAGAGACCCTGGGAAGGAATCAGGAAAGTCCAGTCCCCACCATCATGGGTTAAAAAGGACATGGAACCCGTGGCACAGTCTCCCCTAGAACTAAAAACTGTAGAGTGGGAGAAAACAGGGGCCACCATTCCCCTGGTGGGACAAGACATTATTGACCTTCAGACAGAGGTCTGAGCGGAAAGGGAAGAAAGGGACTTTTTTTTTTCCGGAAAAAAAACCGAAACAAACAAAACAAAACCACGTTTTAAAGAAATGATTAAATTAAATCGGAACCGAGCGAGACAAGTGTTTGGTTTCTTTTGAAACCTTTGGTAAGACGGAATAACTTTTGTATTGTGCTCAGCAGAGAGGGGGGAATATTACTTTATAGAGTATAGTAGCTGTAGGTTCAGGACAACACGAGCTTTCCCAGGTAGGACTGGAGAAGAAGTGAACCTGGAAGAGAGCAAGGAGGAGGAGGAGGAGGAGGCGGAGGGTGGTGAGGGACTGCAGGGGACGAGCCCTGCCGAGATGCTTCGGGGTTGCTGCCTCACGCCGGGAGCCTTCCTGCTCTGCCAGAGGGAGGTGTGGAAGGAAGCCCAGCAGCCACCACGAAGGGCCAAGAAGATCAGGGTTGCTCGGGGACTCACCTGCGGGAGCCTCGCTGGGATGATGCGATCTGACTGTAGATCCCTGGGGGAGACCTAGCCTTGAGGGTCTGTGGCATCCCTTGCCGATCCTCGCCACCCCCACCTCTCCCTCACCAGCTCCAAGAAAGAAGGAGATGGGATGCGCCAAGCGGTGGCCAAGAAGACATTCCCACTCCTATGTGCCAACACGTGACCTGGCATCGTGGCATCCCCACATCAGGTCCCCACGGGGCCAGGAGGGGGAAGTGGTGGCATCAACCATGGCTTAGGTGGAGAGGTAAGGTGGGGCTTCCTCCTTTCATCCCTCCACAGCCGAGCTCCTGCGTGCCCTGAGGAGTGGGACAGGCGCAGGAGGAAAGGACCACCTCCCAAAACCTGCTTGCCCCGTCTCCAGGGAGAGGGTCGAAGGTGTTAGAAAAACAGACCAACAAGAAGAATGTAGGTCGTTTCATTGACTGTTAAATAGATAAACTCAGCATGGGCCTTGCGAAGGTCCTCTTGGCCTCATCCTTTTTTTTTTTTTCTCTTCTGTTATTTTTCCTTGCTTTCGGACTCAGATTTATTCCAAGCTGCCCCTCCCTGGAAGGCAGAGAGAGAAAGAGGGAAAGACAGATCTGCCGATGTACCTGGAGATATTTGGTATACAGAGATGTTGCCTTAGGACATTGAGACAAACTGACAACATGAATAACGTCCACTTGGAAACAAACAAACAAACAAAATAATCTATTTTTTTCCTTCTTCTTTTCTTTTCTTCAATAAAAAGAGAACTTGAAACCCGAGACCTTTCTTTTCTTTGGCTCTTGTCATTTCGAATGCCTTTCTGTGCCGTAGGACTGCACAGGCATGGGGTGAGGATGCCACCTGCTGAAGGTGGAAGGCAAGTTGCTCCATGGAAAGTTTGGGATGGTGGGAACGTACTGCCCCTTCGTCACTCGCTTGCAATATTTTGCTTTGGTTTTATTCAGTTTGGGCTTTGGTTATTTTCCCCTCACTGGCTCTTCTCCTCCCTCCCCGCTGCCCAGAGCCAGCAGGCAGGTTTGTGGTCCTACAAGAAGAGAGAGGTGGAGCTGGTCAGGAGAGCAGGACATTGCTCATCATAAAATATTGTCTTTTTATTTGACCCTGAAAAAAATAATAACGATTTTTTTTTGCATCAAACATTTCTCAAGGCTATTTACAAAAAATAACGTATCTCCATTTCACCCCCCAAAAAGTGTTGTGCAATATTTTTATCATTAAAAAATACGCCACTGACATTACACGCAGATTTCATTCTTTTTTTTTTTCTCATTCCCAGCACCTTCTGTCTGATGTTTTGAATGATTCTCCCAGCTTTGGAGATGTGCGGCGACAAACCTCTGGTTGTGAGTGGCCAGATTGTGACAGACAGCAGTAAAGCTTGAGTGTTTGAGTATTTTTTTTTCTAAAAAAAGCAAAAGCCAAACATTTTTAGGAAAAAGCTAGCAATGGATACAAGATGCAAAACAATCACAACCCAGTTGTGTTTCCTCCACTGAGAGATGTTGCTTGACACGCAAACATCCCTGTTTCGACTTTCCTTTGGGCCACCTGGGTAACTGATCTTTAAGGACTGTGGCATTTACCTTGCCATTAACTGTATAATATGAAGGATGGAAAGAAAAACAGAAAAAAAAAAAATCCAAATAGTTATAAAATAGGGAAACTGATTACTTATAGAAACTGTGACATTATTGTTCAATTTTAGATTATTCTATGAAACAGGAAAGCACAAAGGCCTCCCTCAGATGCCGGGTTGTATGATATTGTAATTATTATAATTACACATTATGAATTTTAGCATACAGATATCTTTCTACTGTGTTTTAATTCTTTTCTCTCTATTTTTTTCCCCCTCCCCTGCCCAACCACGCCTGCCCTTTTCTCTCCAACCTTCCCTATTCACCCAATCACTGCAGCCGACTTGCAGGACATTAACGGTGTTATGTAATTACAGAGATAAATGTTTGTTTAATAACTGTTAATATTCGACTTTCTCTGCTCAGCTCCTCCGGTTAATCCTGTTTTCCCCATGCCCTGCCCTGCCCCGTGCCTTCCCCTCCCTCCTCTCTGTGTTCATCAATTTTATTTTTATTTTTTTTTTCTGTACAGTTTTCAGAGCACAAAATGAATGTGTCTTATTTCTAATAAAAGAGGTGTAAACTCTAGCGATGTCTGCTTTTTAAAAAGTGCCCCTGCCCGCGCCCCACATGTGGTTTGCATCGCGCCCGGGTGCTGGGAAACACCTCTCCTGGATCTGCAAGCTGCCACCTCGGCTCTCTACTCCGGAAGAGCTGTAGCCTGAGGCCAAACTTGCCCCACGAGTCCATCTTTTTCTTTTAGCTTCTTGACACCTCAAAAAATACCTCCCCTTCTGATGTCCTCTCCAGGCCACAAGGAATTCCCTTTTCTGTGCTTTTCTGCAGGTATCTCTAACCCCAACCTTGATGCCCTCTTCCCAATATATGATGTGAGGGGGGCCAATATTTAGCGCAGATGAAGCAGTGTTACTGGTAGAGGGCAGTGGTGCTGGGATGTACTTTCCAATGGTACCAGGTTGATGTTGGTGCTCCCATATCTGCGTGCCTGCCAAGCCAATCTCCACCTCACCTGGATTTCCCTGCCACCCCCTGCATTACCAGGCAGGCTGCAAGCAGGAGCAGGGCTCGGCGCACGACGAGTTTTAAGGATATCAGTCATGAAAGATGACAAGAAATGAATGGAGCGAGGGATTATTCACTTCCTTGGTGCTCATCCTTGAATGGCCGAGATCCTCCAGTGAGAAAATGTGTTCTTATCTCCCTGCCCCTGCTCCATCCCCTGATTGGCAGTTTTTAGGTTTGTAGGCAGGAGGTTTAGGGGTCTGGCAACTCAGATCCAGGGTTGCTCCTCTCCAGAGCCTTGATGCAAAGCCATCATGGCCCAGTAGGTGCCCAGATGTAATGACTTCTCTTGGCCTGGCTGAAATGAGCTGAAACATCTGAAATGATTGTAGAGGTGTGAGGCTGCCTGGAGGCTCTTAGCCCAACCCCTGAACCATGATCTAACCTATCTTCAATCAGCAGCACCTGATGGTGAGTCCCAAGGCTTTTTCATCCTTCCTGCAGGGGTGTTTCTCACCCTACATCTCCCATACCATGAATGTACAGGATTAACAGGCAGAAGGGAAATACCAACCACCAGGCACCATGTGAGGTGGTGGGCTGGGAGGGCAGGAGAGCTCAAACCTTTGATCATAACCCTTGAGGTGGTTGAGGAGGTCCTGCTGTTTCTCATCGATGGAAGCTGGAACGAGGGAACACATGTCCCTGCTGTGTTCATGGGACTGTAGGTAACAGCACTGTCAGAGGTGGTGGTTGCAGGAGGTCAGTGGATGTAGAGGTGGGTTTGGTTTTGTGGTCATAATGTGGTGTGGCTACAAGTGAGGGTCACAGGATAGTTCAGCTTGGAAATGGACTCCTGAGGTTCTTCTGAAGTGTTCTGTGACCCTGTGATCCCACCTTACAGCTGCCCCAGGCAATAGCCATGGGTCAAACAGAGATCACCTGCACATACGCCATGATCTCGCACAGAGGAAGCACAGCCAGACTGTGGCAGTGGATAAATGGGACGTTGTACAAGTAAAAAATCATGATTCTTGGTTGCTACACTGGGAAAACATGGCTGTGCTGGAAAACTGAGACAAATCTGAAAATTGAAGAAATGCTAAAGTATTTTCCCTGGGCTATCCACATAGGGAAAGGCCTTTATGGACTAAGACACCATTCCTAGAAGATTTGGGACCAGAGCAGGAGACCACCCTCTGTGGTGATTTCTCTCTACTCTGTGGCTGAAGGGAGTGCCTGGGTTCATTGTTCTACTAACGGAGGTGTCCAAGATGAGGTAGGTTGAATCTGGGCCTGAGCTGAGTGTCTGGTCCTCAGCCCCTGTTGTGACAAGATCTAAATAGAAGAAAAGAAAGAAGACTAGTTAGTTTTTTGGTTTGTTTTTCTTATTTTCCCCAACCTGCTCCTCCCAGGAAGAGGTCAGTGCCTCCCGAAGGAAGTGTCCACCTTGCAGCTTTCAAGCAAATAGAAAACACCTTCAAAGAAGCTCTCAACAGCCTTCTGAGTAAGGAGTCCTTAAGGGATGATGTGCGGAAACAAACCCTACAACTCGAGGTGAGTTATAAAGCAGGTATGTTTATTATGATGCTGGGTGCAAGGGGGATGTCTCCTCCTAACTTGCACACCTTATTACAAAACAAATGATTATTTACAATACAAATCATACATATGCAAGACTATAGGATGGACTATTACAATTATTTCTAGGAATAAGCAGGATTATTCTAATTGTTTCCACGAACTCATTATAATAAGTCTCCTCCTCTAGGCCCATGCGCACTGCCTCCTGGTGGTCTCCTTTCAGGGTCTCTGGGAGGAAGGCCCTGAGTCTTCTTCACGGTGAACTTTTTCCTTTTGATGAGTTGACTCATCTGCAGGGCTTCAGGGTTCCTGTTGTCTGGAGTAACAGTCCATAAAGTTCCTATTGGCATGCTAAGGATACATTGTTTCTTAAAGCAGGTAACTTTTCTATAACTCTACAATTAACCTCTTAATTGCTGGTTCTTGCTTCAGGGATCCATGTGGAGGACCTCTCCAGTGCTTTCTTGCTCAGACTTACTTTCATGCATGATTTTCCAAAAAACCTTTTATGTATCTGTGGCTCAAAGTTCCCATATGCTGGCAAGCCCCTTGGGTAGGACAATTTCCTACCAAGGACATAGGTAAGAGTGTGAAACACAAGCACAGTTCCTAAG